TGGTCGGGACCGCTCACCGCCTCTTGGAAAGTCGCTGGCTCCGATAAGTCCACCGCAGCTTCGACTGCGTTGGCACTTGCACGCCAAAACACGGGGGAAGTCGATTCTTCATCTTGATCTCCAGCCTTTTCTTCTTCGTTTACGTCTGCTCGACGTGAAGACGAATTGGTCGGCGTACTTGCTTCTTCCAGTCCGGGTCGATGACGCGTAGTTCGCGGGTGGGTTCTACCTTGGACGATGTTACACAGACAGTGGGCTCTACCTTGGACGACGCGACGGATACCGTGGGTTCTACTTTGGATGACGTTACGAATACTGTGGGCTCTACCTTGGACGATGTGGTATACACCGTCGGTTCTGAGCTGGACGGCGCGACGGATACCGTGGGTTCTACTTTGGATGACGTTACGAATACTGTGGGCTCTACCTTGGACGATGTGGTATACACCGTCGGTTCTGAGCTGGACGATGTGATTGACACGGCCGAGTCGGCGCTAGACGATGTTACGCAGACTGCTGGGTCGACAGTCAATGGCGTCAAGAAGACGGTCGGATCGACAGTTAATGGCGTCACGCAGACTGTTGGCTCGACGGTAAATAGAGTAACGAATACCGTGGATGATGTGGTGGACACAGTGGCCCCTGTTGTGCACAAGGTGGTCAACACGGCCGGCTCTACGGTCAAAACATTGGCCAACACCACGTCGAATGTCGCTAAGACGGTGGCTCCCGTCATTGATACTATTGCTAACACTGCGGGATCAACGGTGAAAACGGCGACTAACACTGCGTCTAACGTTGTTAAGACACTGGCTCCTGCTGTGAACAAGGTGACCAACACGGTGGCCGACACGGCCGACTCGACGGTGAATACCGTGACCGACACACTTAAGACGGTGACCCCAGTCGTCAACAAGGTCACCAACACTGTGGCCGACACAGCCAGATATGTAGTGAATACTGCGTCCAACGTCGTGAAGACGGTGACCCCGGCTGTTAAAAAGATACCTAACACGGTGGCCGACACGGCCGACTCGACGGTGAATACCGTGACCGACACACTTAAGACGGTGACCCCAGTCGTCAACAAGGTCATTAACACTGTGGCCGACACAGCCAGTTATGCAGTGAATACTGCGTCCAACGTCGTGAAGACGGTGTCCCCGGCTGCTAAAAAGATACCTAACACGGTGGCCGACACGGCCGACTCGACGGTGAATACCGTGACCGACACACTTAAGACGGTGACCCCAGTCGTCAACAAGGTCATTAACACTGTGGCCGACACAGCCAGTTATGCAGTGAATACTGCGTCCAACGTCGTGAAGACGGTGACCCCGGCTGTTAAAAAGATACCTAACACGGTGGCCGACACGGCCGACTCGACGGTGAATACCGTGACCAACACGGTCGACTCGACGGTGAATACCGTGACCAACACGGCCAATACGGTGGCACCCGTAGTGCAGACTGTGGCCAAGACGGCAACGAATGTGGTTACCCCTACAGCGACCTTGGCCACGGACGCGGTCACCCAGACGGTGGGCAGTACGACGCTCGTGACGGCGGGACTTCCGTCTGCGACGAGTCCTCCAGCCAGAACTGCACGTCCTACCACTGCACCTCCCACGACTGCGTTCACGAAGACTGGCACTACTAAGACTGGCACTACCAAGACCACAACGCAGCAGAGTCCGTCGTCGCAGAAGGAGGACGAGAAGACCCCATCGACCCCACACATTGTGACTCTGACGGCTAAGGACTCGTCCGACTCAAAGACCGAGACCAGCGCGGACCAGACCGACTCGGACTCTAGCAAGCCCAACTCTAAGAACAAGAAGAACACGTCAGCCGGCGACGAGTCTGACAGTAGTGATGACTCGGTGTTTGTCCCCAAGTCTTCGAATTCATCGTCCTCGTCGACCGACGTAGCGGACGTGACCAAGAAGCCTTCGACTAAGAAGCCTACCAAGACTAAGCAACCTACTACTTCTTCTTCCTCTAATGCCGACGACAGTGCCTCTGACTCGGGCTCTGGCTCGGAGGAGGTCGGTATTCCTGACGACTCGGCTTCAACTGCAGAAGGTTCGACGTCTATGTCGGGATCCATGGAAGGTCCAGAAGTGGGCGATGTGTCTACTCCCGAGCCTAACAAGACGACGCTACGTCCTGAACCTGCTCCTGCTACTGCGGCCCCCGCTCCGGCTGCACCGGCGGCTACGCCCGCCCCGCCGGCTGCGGAATCAACGCCCGGGAGCGGCAGTCTAACGAGCCAGGAAGCTCAAGCCAAGCGCGCGGAAGACGTGTCCGGTAAGAGCGACACAGGCACATCGGCCTTGTTGGCGGTGGTCGCCGCGGCCGGTTGCGCGGCCGTTGTCGCCATCTTCGCGTACGTGAAGAAGCAGAACCACGAGACGGAGGGTACAGGCCCCGACGGCTCTCGCAGCTCTGCCACCACGGCGGACGGCGTACGCCCATCAGAAGACAGCGTGTACAACGACCCGTTGGGCACGCGCTACTCCAGTATCGTCATGATCACGCCCAACGGCGACGGGGTGTGCATCTTGTAGATGGAGTGAATGCGCACCGATAGAGGGCGACTGCGCTTTGTGAACAGAACGACATGTGGATAGCTTAACCCTCGCGGATTTTGACCTTAAAAGTAATCGAGTGTTTTGCCGAGTGCGTTTATCTACCGTCTTCTCTTTTGATCTATTACTCTTGTGTACTTGTCACTAAGCGGACGGCAACATCACCGCGGTCTTTACGCATCGTGTCGAGTGGGTGGAACGGTGTAAGTCCGACGGGGAAGGCGAGTCGGTTGTCGAACGTGGTTTCCACCTCATACAGCTCATTCGTCGGGTCTTCAGCGTCACATACAAGATACCTCGTCACTGCTGCGAGTTTGACGCGTAGCCCGAACGCCCACGTCGGTTCTTTGGAGCCCGGTACAGCCTCCAGATACGGACCTACATCCATCTTAACTTGAAGCGGAGAAGCACGCGCCGACGCCGGGCGTAGTAACACGCGATCCATGTCGTGGTTACTCAGTAGCTTACTCAGAAGTTCGTAGGAGCAACCGCCGGACTCCGTTCGGTTGCTTGCATGCAGCACTGCCATTGCGACTGACTGTA